CTGTAGCTTTTTGTCAAAGACTTTCACTGAAGAAACCTTACAGAAGGGAATACTACAAGATACAACCTTTATTTGCTTCCATATCTAAGAGGTTAGACTAACAATAAAAAAAAAATATGTATTTTAATAAACTGGTTGAGGTTATGAAATCTACTACAGTTTGTGGTGTTTTTTTTAACTACATATTCCTATTTAGTTATAGAGTATTTCTACAAAAGATTTCTCTTAATTCTAGTAAGTGTACTGCTCACATTGACACAGAAGCTGCTATACTTTGTGTAATTCACTACAAGACTGCTTAAAACTGTGCAGTAGCAACTATATATTCGTTTATGACTGCAGAGCAGCTATCATTAGCAAAGAGAATACATTTTTGACTGAAACATGCCCAAAGAGCTTAAAAAACTTTCTAAAAGTATTTAAGTATCTTGAAAAGAGTTGCTAGTCTTTAGAGTAACCATCACACCACAAAAGACATCAAAAGAATTAAACAATGTTTGCTAAGTGCTTGATATAACAGATCAAAAGACCTAGCTTGATTTAAACAATACCCAAGAACTTGAGTTTTTTTCACAAGTGGTGGTTCATCCTAAACTTAACCCCTGTTTAGACTTTAAAATAAAAGCAAAATTGTCCTACAACAAGTTGAAACGACAGTAAGTTCTAGTGTCATCATGTATCCTATGCAACTCTCAAAGGAAAAAGTCACATTAATGAAATCGTTCAAGTAAGCTGGAAGTAAATAAACTTTTAAAATAGTTTTTTTGAATGGCAATATAAACTGACAAGAATAACGATTTGCGAAGCTTTATTATGTATGTGACGACTTCATCTGACAGAAAAGTAGAGGAGGTGGGGGAGTGCTACATTATTTAAAGGTGAAATAGGAGCTTCACGTTTCACTCGAAGTCGAAACAAGCTGTAGCAAGCATTTATTAAAAATGCGCAATCATCCTGTCAATACATATTAAGGTCACAGGACTGAAACATGTTCTAAAATGCAGAACTTTTAAAGCTGCAGTATTCTTTACTTCAAATGATTCTGTTTAAACAGTTAACTCAATACTTGATCAAAATGTATGAAATAAAAGGGACTGCTAAGTATTTATTTTGAAAAGGCAGCAAGTTTTCCAGAAGAGATTTTAGCAGAAGGATTTAAGCCCATCTAGAGATATATAATACACTACTTTCATTTATGGCATGTTCAATAAATCAGTAAAGCAATAAGCAGCAGAGCAGCACAGAAGGAAGATACCCTGTAATTCACATAATGCCCGAGTACAATAAGAATAAATGATTGATATTTGATTGATGCTTAAAAACACTTCCTCTACAGCAAGAAAGTGGAAGTATATACTTCTAATTAAAGAGCAAGTTAACTAAATATAAGTCATATATATATAAGTATAATCCGAAATATTTAAAATCGTTTTTAAATTTATTTGCATCACTCCAAAATGGTGCTTTACTGTAACAGTATGACTCTAAAAGTTTCCCAAGATGACAACTAATTGCATTTGTAACTGGACATCTACTTAAATTTCCAGGGAAAACAGTTCCTTCATTTCAAGTTACATGTCCTTTCAGAAAAAAAAAAAAAAAAAAACCCAAAAAAAACCCAAACAACAAGCCACCCCCCCAAAACAAATAAAACAAACAAACAAATACCAAAGGGGAGAAAAATGAGACAATACTTAACAATACTTAACTGTATGCAATTAGATTAGCTCTCAAAAATTTGAGAACCTTTGAGTACGCCTATTCCCTTGTTCCTTTCAAGTTTTATGCAATGAAATATTTTCTGATAACGGGCCTCATTTCTGTCTCAGCTCCACACCAGTAAGGTTTTAATACTCAGCGTGTGATGAGAGATGAAACCAAGTGTGAACAACTTTCGGGTCCCATGAGTAGGCTGACTGTTGAAGCTGTCAGGTTCAATTGCATCATTCCACATTATTCAATGCCCCAAACTGCTCCCTAATTGTTAGGGGCTTAACATATTCAAAACCATTGTTTAGGCTAATGCTGAAATGCCTACAGTTGAGTCTCCATAAAGAAAGGGGAGGGATTTAATTGTAGTTAAACCATTACTGAACTCTCCTCCTTTCATGATAGGACAACAAAGATGGCCGGAACAACCAATTCCAAGACGGCTTCTTAATCAGTTTATATCCAATCAACATCCCTTTTCCCCTCTGTTTTAAAAATAATCATTGCTATTTTGTAGCTTTGTGTTATATTATGATGATGCTTCACAATTAGAGACAGATCACCTAATTACCTACTTCAGCCAATATCTATTTGTCCACAATAATTTCAAAAGTTATTTTTATTTGTTTAAAATAAAAACTTATCATTGCTCCAGCACTGTCTATATCCCTTTAAGTATGAGTACCAGATTAATATGGTTGGGGTCATACCGTTTACTAATCATACTAGGTACTATCACTAGTGCTTTAAAGAACTCAAGAGCACTGGATACCAACTACTACTGAAAACTGTATAAAAAAAATTGATGCAGGTGAAGTTTAAAGCTGTATTTTCTGCAAGCTATTCTGCAACACTTCTAAGAAGCAGCTGTTAATGCTTTCCATGCAATTGTCTGGCTTCACAAAATATGGGAAGAAATTCAGGCACTAGACCAAATATTAACATCAGCTTAATTCATCCAGAAGTCATCTTAAGCTGATGTATTTTGGTCAATGGCAAGCACTGTGTACTATTGAAAATAACAACAAAATTAAAACCTTAATTGCAACTAAATTAGCTTAGATACTCAAACAAATGAATGCTACGTACATAATTACAGTAAAAATTGGTAATATATAAAAATTAATTGCTTTTCTTGAGAAAAGAGCTGCCTATCAAGTGATAGCAGCAAAAGGAACCTGGCCTTCTGTTTCCTAGCTTAACTTGGACGAGTAAAGAAAAGTGATTTTTATCCCTGGAAATTTTAGGGCCAGTTACACTATGGGAGGCTTTTCTAGGGTATTCAGTGCAATGGGAAGAACATGCTATTGCTTCCTTTCACTCTTTAAGTACTTCTGGTACCATCTTCAACTTCATTTAGGAGATGTGGGAGAGCCACTTCTCACATTGTCACTGGCTTTCTCTAAATTCTGTTAGTGGTCTATCTGGGATCACAGTACACATCCCCAGAAGGGTGGTCAGACAGCAATACAACCAAATTTCTAGGAAACCCAAGAGGAGGTTCTAGCACATCAACAGCCCTTCATGCATCACTTGCTGCAACACAACTCTTGAGTATTTTCCCCACAAATATGGAATTTGCTTACAAAGCTTATGTAGACCTTGTTTTCAACAGGAAAAAAAATAATCCAAAATCTTATTTATTTTCCTATATGCCAAGAAATAGAGGCGGAATTAAGGACAACACAGAAAATCCTGTTTCCACATTTCTTCTGAAAACCGTCATATGACTTTTCAAAACAACTAGCATAACAAATAATATTAAAATGCAACATGATAAACATGGTATTTTAACTAAGCCAAATCTTTTATTTATACCTTTTTAATCTATGTTTTGGCTTTCATAGTTATAAGTTGAATATAATAAATTTTCAAGAAAACTATATTGACTTCTTGATTAAAACAGCCTACAGCACTATTGATAACTGAAAGTGGAAAGTGTACTTTTTACAGCTAACCTCACCTGCTATCATACATACATCACCACAACCAACCACTGTAGTCTTTTATTTATTCATTCTATGAAAGCAATACTGGGATTGAAAAGATAACCCATCCCACACTGCCACCATCACCATCCATGCACTTTGAAGTCCTTAAAGTTTTGCAGGTTTTTTTCAAACACACAATCAAGGTGCAATTTTACAATAAAT